CACCACCACCACCACCACCACCACCACCACCGCCGCCGCCTAAACACTCCAAGTACTACAGAGAATTCTTTACAAGGAAGACAACCAGATTACACACAAATACAGACCTACTAAACAGACTCATCATTACTTTAGATCGATTTGTAGCAAGTTTACGATCACCTTCAAAATTAAAAAAGAAGAGTGTAAATAAAGAAATGATTAAACTATTAGATGATGATTTAGTGACAATGGATGCAGATGATTCTGAAGATTCATCAGATAGTAGCAATACCTTCAGTATTTTGACTAATTTTTTTTTCAAAAATATTGTGCGCTTCAAAAAAATATTATTTTTTAATACGTACCTTCTTTGTTAAGTTATCTAACGTTGATGTATGTGAATATAGTCTATTTGCTATTTCATTAAAGAATTGCCGTTTAATTTTTTATTTAAGGTTAAACATTTCTTATGTTGCAATAAAAATTATTTATGTTGCAATAAATAATACAATTTGTTTATTGTACTCATTTTGTAATATTTAAGTAACTATGCGATGATCCAAATTAGTTGAAATATTAGCTTTAAGCTACTTTAATTTTCCTGTTTTCATACGAGACCTCACGTCGGAGAATCCCCTTTAAACCAAATATAATAATAATAATAATAATAATAATAATAATAATTACCACCACTGTTGTTTCAATGTCTTGTGTATGCACATGCCCGAATCACGCATGCATAGGTCGCATCACGTAGGAGCAGCCAAGAAAGCTGACACCGAAGCCGATGCCGGGGAGGCAGGAGATTGGGTCAACCCTGGGATAATTATCCCGAGATATGTGAGATATTTAAAAGGGGGCAAATGAGAATAAATATAATATATATATATATATATATATATATTAATTAGACTGTATCGAAAATATAGAAGGCAATGGCTTAGTGAGAAAAAGTTAGTTTTTCGATGCAAGAAGAATAGTAGAATAATGACAATAAAACCGTTTTTAAATTGGGTTTACGGGTGCCACAAAACCCATACACTTCCCGTTTTCGGCCTTTCAATTTTTAGAAAATCACAAATAAGTATTGTTTAGTTATTTTTATCAACGGGTTTTTGACTGAGATGGTGCCTATATTACCCTGAAAAACTTTTATGATCATCAAACCTTATTTAATCAACTCAAAAAGTGTGCCACATTAGCCCGAATATGACCTATTTTACGTAAACCATAAAATTTGACACTTTTCAAATGGTCATAACACCGTAAATTGTCACTCAATATTTTTTAC